GGGACGAAAGCTTATCACCTTTTCACTGTAATCGAAGAAGATTACCTCAAAAACAGCGTCAGCATGAATCTTTCAGTAAAGCCAATTAATAGCTGGTCAGGAGGAATCCGCCGTCGTCTTCTGGTGGAACCGACCTTCGAATCTCTTCACCCAACACTTTAACTCGAAATAGAAGTAGGCTCAACAATTATGAAACAAGAGATTCCTCGAAACCCAACTTTTCTTCGCAGGGATAACTTTCCTTTTTGACCTCTTTTCCAAATATAATTTTCAAACAGACCTTGATGCTTTTAATGAGTGTAGATAAGTTGGAATAGTAACCTTCAAAGTTTATAGGCTCTTCGGTGCAGATTGTCTTCTAATTTTCCGGAACTATTATAACAAGGTGTAATCTCTTACCTTTAGGTCCTTTTTGCCCTTTCATTCCTTTGTAGCCGTCAGGACCAGGAGTTCCCTTTTCACCTTTACGCGCTTGGAGTACAATGCCGTTAGGTCCAGGGTCACCCATCATACCTTTTGGACCTTCCAGTCCACGGAAACCTTGGAGCCCGGGAACACCTGGATCACCCTATGCAAAGATATTGAGGTGTCAGGCGGTGTAAAATGCAGTGAATGGTTTAAAGGAATTGATTCTTTAGAAATAGGGTTGTCACAACTTTGAATAAAATAAAGCCTATTAATATCTTTGGACTTTAACTCATAGAATGTAGGCCCTTAAATGTCTCGAAATGGAAGGTTTAGTTTTAAGTATTTAATTCACTTAATAAAAACTAGAAGGTGTGCTGATAGAGTAAGCTAGTTATAGAGCAGGTGAGGAAATATTTATACATTCCAGTGAATTTCTACATAAATTCCCCTGGTTAGATAGAATTGGCACCATAACAATTAAGCCATAGGAAACTAATTAGCATATAGTTCTACCACTAAAAGCGAAAGAAATAGTTTACTGCTTACCAATAGGCATACAAAAAACAGAATAGGGTTACAATATTGAAGAATAACAATCTCCTGGGCCTTTGGAAGGCCAAAATTAATACAATTTATTGGATATAGTTAAACCCATATTGAATTAACTTATCCTTATTACATGTTTTGTAAGGATTTAAGCCATGCTATGTTCTGCCAATATATGTCAAGTAAGTACGCCATTTTTACAACGCTCAATCAAGTTGGCTTAAAATAATATTACGTGGACTGCGTCAACATGAATATAATATAA